TAGTGATCTGGGCTCAGGATATGAATTTCTCCAAATGCAGTGTGAGACTTTTGTCAATAAGATCCCAATATTGCCTGGATAAAGTTGTTTGGTTTTTAATAGACCTGTTGTTGAAGGAATGCCTGTGATTATATAATCGTTGTTATCAATTCTCTGCAAAAATTCCAATGTGGGTCTTCTTCAGGTCTACATTTTCTTCGGGGAAAATAGTTGCCTCATATACCACGTTTTTAGACATGTATTTACCTTCAACAGGACACTCAATTTTCCTTCTGCAATTGCATAGGATTTAATATTCATTGCTCCACTGTTTAGAAATTTACTTAGGAGTTTACTATTGTGGGCTGAGATGATCCTTTCTATATTGTTAACACAAGAGTAACTAATTTTAAGTGTTTTTCTATTAAAAATTTTTGATGAGGGATTTTTATCATCAAAATGCTTATCTATTAATTTTAAGAAGAAACGGCCTATATTAATATTGGGATGTCTGCAGAAGGGTGGGTTGAACTATATGACTTTTTTTTTTGTTTTTTTCCTCTCCACCACCATTACATGTTAATAATTTTGAATCTTTCCTTCTCTTTCTCCCTTAATATATGATACCTGTATGTTTTGAATTTAACCTGGAGTAATTTTTTCCATTTATATTTGGTTTGCAGGTCTGAAAGAAGGCTATTTTTATAGCTTTCATGAAATAAAGATTATTACCTATGGTATTTTAAGTGTTTGATATTCATTAATTAATAATTTTGCTCTGAGTCTGACACAGAGCTCTCCTTGGATTTTTATCCTCTTAGAAATTCCATATGGATTACCATTTTTATTTTATTATATAATTTAGCTTTGAGAATTAATATTTAGAATAGTTTTCTATGATTACTGCAGGTATACTGATAGCTAACAAGGCTCAAGAATTAGGTGGATATAAAACCCTCCTGCCAATACGAATAAGCTTCAAAGTGTGATAGATTGTTACTGTCTCTACCCTTGAAACCAATTTACTATAAACCAGCCAAGTGGGCTGATGGTGGTAAGGTCATAGGTTTACTGTTGGAGATTCAGATATACTTTATTGTAACCAAATGCACCAGAATTATAAACAAGATAAAACAGCTAGCAAAAGTATTATACATAAGGACACATTTCCAGTCATACATTATAGCTGCATGAGATGAGTAATGTATTACCAAAAATTTAAAAGATCCGATCATATCATTAATAATTATTATTTTCAAAAACCTCCACTGCTCAACAATGCTGATCTTATCTATGAATTTTCTTGCTCTTTGAGCAACTGTTTCTCTTATATCTACCTCTATGTCCCGTGGGTCAACTGAATTTGTCTGGTTTGTGCTTACGTTAATGAACACTTATTGCTAAGTACTAATATTTCCACTTGTATATGGCAGATAGGTACGAGCAATATGCATATACTATATAACATTAACTGTAAAAAAAAAGGGGGGGGGCTTAAAATTTTTTAAGTCTTTATAAAATCAAGAAATCCCAAACTAAATAAGAACTTCAGTGGGACATAGATTTAATCCAGTGAAGAATTTTGCTTGTGTATTATGTTCTCATAATGCACAAACACCATATGTTAAAATGCCAAGTTTAAAAATATTTAAAGATTTAAAAACAAATAAAATCCACAGTTGTTCCCTGATCTGCATAATGGCTAGAAGTAAGGTCAAAAGTCAAATGTTTGGATGATATATAATTGGATCCAGTTATGCATTTTTTTTTTGTATGTAAACAAGAAAAGTTAACTAAAAAATGAAAAGAAATCATTCCTTATCAATGGTCTGTAATCAAACATGATATATTTTACTACAAGATAAAGCATACAGATGCTTAATAACAGTAAAAAGACAAGTGCTCAATGTGGAAAACAATGATTACATATAAAAAAAATAATAAAATTAAAATACCTTTATGTAGTTTCATGCCAGAACCAGAGTCATGGTATGGAGAGGCAATAATTTCAAGGAATTTCAAACTGGATTCTTTATTCAATCTATGAAAATAGATTGTTCTCTTTCCACTGTTTAGGGATATCTCAGTTTGGTTAATTGTCCTTTTAGTACTGATCAGTTATTGCTTGTCCTCTTTCCACTAACTACTCGCCCACAAGTTCACTAACTAATGATTTAATCCTACAGACTATTGTCTCATGGGACAATGCTGAAGCTAAAACTTAATATTCTTCGTGCTTCCTCTGCTGCTGCAGGACTGTTGATATGTTCTGCCACTAACATTTCTCCTTTTTTTCTCCAATTACAGTTTTTTTGCCATGCTCTAGTTTTATTAGTTGCTTGTATTTCTGGTGCATGATTAATTAGTGGCTCCCATATGGTGTTTATATCTATACTAGGCCTATAGTAATAATGATGATGATAACTACTCATCCCAGGAATTTATACAGATCTATCTGCCATATATATATATATATATATATATATATATATATATATATCTTAGTTTAGCTGATGCATTTTGTCATTCAATGAACTTTATCAAGGCAAATGTGATGATTTTATTAATGTGATGTATATATTTGACAGTTACTCAAAATTTCCAAATTTAAGAACACTCATAAATATTCAACAAATTAACTGAAAAGATTTGGTGTTAGATCCTAGATTATGTCATATAGCATTTTAAAAAGGAAAATTCTTAAATTTAAATATGTTCAATAACAGGTTAATTGAAATGTCTAGTTATTTAGATCTTAGAATACGTCATTTAAAAAAAAAAAAAAAAGGTTTTGGGATGGAAATATGATATGGATGTTTGTATTATACATCTCCAAAAGTTGAAATGATGGATTTCCTTTGATTTTTCAACACAGTAGTTGTGTATGTTGGCTCTGGAAAGTAGTAATTCCTTCAGGAAAGGTGAGATTAGGAAAAAAAAAACAGGGCGTAGATTGATATTTGATAACATTTGATAGTGGCATTTGCGAGGATTTTCCTTCTGAGTAAATTACTTTCTCTTTTGATGAGTATGGCATTTTTGTCGCAGTTGTATATTTTTGTACCTTTCTCTTTGCATTGTGGCTGAAGTGATAGGGACTGTGGGGGGTTTTGAAGGTGTTTCTTCTTTGGGTAGGTACTGGGGACTGAAAATTCTTAGTGCTTTTAAGTAGAAACCTATAATTATATCAGATTTAATTTTATAAGAGTGGTTTGAAGTTGACTAGTTCATTTTTGTTGGTAGATTTTCTGTAAACATCAAAATTGAGTTTGTTATTGTTTCTGTGTAACATGATACCAGGAAGGAAAGAATGGTTGGTTTTAGGTTCAAAGGTGATGTCTATTGTAGGTTCAACATTGTTAAGTTGGTTGACAAGATCTGTTAAAATAGCATTTTATGGAAGTACAGGGGAGTCTATGTATCTGAAGATTGGAAGAGCTTGGTGGTAGAATGTTATTGAGAGAACCACTTTCTAGAGACTAAAAATAGACAAATGAGAATACCCATGAGAAGAGATCCCATAGGTAAGCCAAATTTTTGTCTATAGAAGTTGTTACCAAAAATGAAGAAACATTGTTTGGTAATTAGTTGGCATATTTTTATAATTTTATGTGTGGGGATAGGTGAATTTATTTTTATTAAGTGTATATTTAGTAGACATAGGCATTTTTTATAGGGACATTAGTGTATAGAGATTTTATGTTTAAACTGGCCATATATTTGTTTTTGATGTCTACATTTTTAATTTGTTTAGGAGGTCACTTAAAATTTTTATATGTGAGGGAATGATTGTGCAGAGGAGTAGGGTTAGGATTTTGCTTAGTGTGTCGGCTAGTCTATGTGGGGCGTTCCCTATCCCTGATATGATAGTTCTCATTGGTATGTCCAGTTTGTGTGTTTTTGGATGTCTGTATAGTGTGAGTGTTTTGAGGTGGTATTCAATGAGTTTTAGCCAAGAGGTGTCCTCATTTATTAATAATCTTTAGACATTGCTTATGAATTTTTGTTTCTCTTTTGTGGCTCTGTTTTTGTTTACTTTTACATAGATGTTGTTATTGTTGATGAGGTCTCTCATTTTCTGTTGGTAGAGCAGTTCGTCCATATATATATATATATATATATATATATATATGTGTTGCAAAATAAAACCATCACATTTCCCTTGGCTAAACTAAATATAATTATCTTCATCTTTTCATTCATTTTGTTTCTTCTACAGATATACTCTATCTGAGAATATTTACACACACACAATCCTTATTTCTTTCCTAATCATAGCAAATAAACTAATTCTCAGTGGAGTAGGTCAAGTAGAAATAAAACTTGAAATACTGGCCACTGTCCTCATCCAGATAACCAACTGTCCAAACTAATGATATGAAATACAATTGCAACAACTATTAGACAATATGATTTCATATATATATATATATTTTATATTTTAATTACATATAGACAATGAATATTTTCTTTTAAATATTTTTTACTTAAATTTTCTTGTTTACATATACCTGAATTCAGTAATCTTATATATTTATATAGGATGTATATTGATATCAAGATACTTTGGAAATCCATATATTAAATACACAGAAAAATTTGATAATCTTTTTGCACGTGTAATTTTAATGCAATTCATTTTTGCAATAACAGTAACATATATTGAATACTTTTTCTATGTAGTGACAAGCTAATTTTTCTTATACTAGATTATGTTATTAATTCTGATAAATTTCAAGTAATTATACCGAATCACTTAATCAACCAAAAATTGTTCCTTTTCTCAAGTTCATTATTATGCTTGTTCATCTGAGCAAGGTGTTTTTGTTCTTTGTTTTTTTCTGAGTACATGCTACAACTACACTCTTTTCTTATCACAGATACACCCTGGAATTCTATTCTACTCATCATGCAGTACATAAATCTTGTGTTAGTGCTAAAATAAAATAATGTGCTTAACACATTTTGTCAAGTCCCACACCTACAATTTACAATTACATGAGGTAAAATAAAAATCTTACCAACAACTCTGACATGTTCTAAGACATCATCTCGAACATCTGAAATGTCCCACATGGACATGAATGAAGCACAACAGTTAGAATTGTCTATCATTAGGTCTATGAAAGGCTTGTGTGAGAATGAGAAGTAATGGGCCACAGCAGCAAGAAACATTTCAATACAAATACAAAAGTCCTGCAAGAAAAATATAATTCATTAAAATGATGCAGAGAAATTTATGTTTAAAAATGAAACATGTTCACTTATTTCTTTAATGAATTTGAGTAATTTTAAAAATGAAATATTTTATAGTTTTTCATATAAGAATGTCAACAACTAAAGCTGTAAAATAGTTGCTGGAATATCTAAATATTAACCAAAGTATTCAAAACTATACTTTATTGATATTAGTATAAATTTTGGAATATATGTATGAATAGATCATTTTTTTTTTAACTTGCCTTATAAACTAATTTATAGATAATTTGATATCATTCTTTTATCCAGGTTTTAATTAAATTAAATTATTTCCAGTAAAAGTATTAAGCACTGTCAACTTATAAATTCAATATAACAAAGCTGCTTAAATATAAACATCTTTGTATCTCTCATCTCTTCTTCATGTTTTTCAAATTTTAAGCCACATTTTGTTCTGGTGAACATAACAAAAAATAAAACAAAAAAAATCAATTCCTGCAAATAAATATAAAAAAGTATTTTCTTATCTGTACACTTTAAAATAATGTCACTTTTAGAAGAGATTACTTTAAAAATATAAAGCATTTTTCTAATGTAAAGGTACGTTTGTTGACCAATTTCTAATATAAAAATCTACTTATAAAACATAAATTTTCTCATTTTTGAGTAATATTAATATACATGTTTTATGCAATTATTTTCTACATCAATAAATGTCCTGCTGATAATAATTTTATTAAACAAAAGAAAAGTAATAGTGCAAAATAAGTGATGATAATCTTTAACAATTTCCCAACTCTTTCAGAACAAAGCTGAAGGATTCATTTTCACTGATCAATAATTTATTCTATCATAACAATATTAACCTCACTTAAGATCCATACATTCCAATAAAATTTTCATGTTGTCATTATTCTGTTACGAGAATCTTTGATTTACTCCAACATATATAATATAGTCTTTTTGAGCATACCAAACTTTCCTTTTAATTGGATAGTCACTGCATAATAGAAAACTGTGTAAACTCTGCCTTGTATATGTATTTAATGTGAGCAAATTCATTGTATGTGAATGCATTTATTACATTGTTTGTGTATTGTTTCTTTGTCAGTCTATTCATTATATTCCAAGCATTATGCAAAATTAATGAGGTCAAATATATTTATTTTGACTGCTGTGATTTATATATAAACTGAGGTTAGTAGTCATGGTTCTATGCAATATAAAACTGAAATAATTAAAAAATAAATTCATACAAACATGTATTTAAAACATAAATGGTTAGCATATAAATTACCAGATATAGATATCTGTATGCTTTGTGTATAGGCTGAGCTCAGTTTGTGAAGATAATGGAGGAAAGCATTGCATTTTATTAAGTACCTCCAAAAATTTGCTAAAAAAGAGGATACTTGATGAAAAAATGCACAAAAAAAATAAAAACAAAATTTTATTGTCAAAGCCTTTGTGTTATTATCAAGAGGAAAGATCAAAGGGTTTTTTTGAAGTAAAAATTGTTTTTTTTAGTCTTTTCAAAACCTAGGAAATTTTGGTTAAAAATCTTGTTTTTCTGGCATCAGTGCAGGACCATAAATTTGTACGGGAAATTTGAGCATCTTTTTGTGGTGAAAAAACCTTAATTTGTAAAGTCTTGCAAAAGTTAGATAATTTTTAGATTTTATTCAGAAATAAATAAAATTATTTTTGAAACATTTCTTGTTTAGAAAATCTTGGTAAAAATATTTTTTTACATCTGTTACTCTCCACTCATTTAATTTTATCAAATTTTAAAAAAAATTCAAGACATGAAATTGAAAGATTATATTGTTTTAATTGTTAGATCTATTGCTAGACAGTTTTTCTTGCCAGAATATATCATACATATTTATAAGTTAATCATTCCTCTATGTATTGAATATTGCTGCTACATCTGGTCTGTATTTAAAGATTCTTGATAAAATACAAAGAAGTATCTGCAATGTTATCAGTCTTGATGTGGCATATCAGCTTTAGTTACTTTCCTACTGTTATAACATAGTTTCCCAGTTCCTTTTCTATAAATATTTTCAAGGTAATTGCTCTGATGGCCTTTTACCTTTTGTAGCTCAACTTACAAATTTAAGACAGTACTAGATTGGCAGCTAGCTCTCATTTTACAGCTGAAATAGATAAATGTAACCATAAGTTCTATACCAACATTTTTTTTCTCTCACACTTCTCACTTGTAGAACTTTCTTTTGGCTTCTTGCTTTCCAGTCAACTTTGATCTTCAACAATTTAAATTCGATCCTTATCTCATGTCTTCTTAATTCCTGTTCTTTTATTGTCCTTTCTCCTTAATAATGTTTTTATTTTTCTCTTATTCTTTCACAGTCAGTAGCCATCTTTGGTGGCCTTGCTTGTGGTGAAATGATTAAAAAATTTTTTTTTTGAGGAATAAAAATTCTTTTTACAAGAATTGTTTACATTTTTTTAAAAATTTAGTTAGCATAATTTATAAACTTTTAAAATTAATTTGTAGTGGTCAAGTGATACAGTTATTAAATTAAAACTGATCTTCCTCATCATAAATAGAAAAGCTAACTACAATTCAACAACACCAGTATTTTAAAAAGAATTTTGAACTTTTTTTGTGTGTATAAATGTGTTGATTTTTGTAAATACAGATGTCCATGCATGTCATTATCAAAAAATAAGAGTGGTATAATTTTCTAACATTTTCTCAACATACGTCTTTGTAAATAAGGCTATAAAGACAAAGTAAAGACTAAAATTCAATAAAATATTAGAATGCTTAAAATATTTAAAATTTTTAAGATTACTGGGTTGTTAAAAAATACATTAAAAAGGCATTCACGTATTTGTCATGGAATTTTATTTCAATTACGTGCTCCTTATTTAAATTTACCAAACATCACTTAACACATCAAAAAAACACTACTTCCATCTTAAAAAGATGTTTTTCTGTGATATTTCAAATTAAAATAAAAATTAAAACAATTATTACTTATAATAATTGTTTTAATTCAGATTAATTAAACTTTAAATAAGCTATTTTTTCTCAAATAACAAAGTATATTTTAATTTTGAAACATTTTTTCATAAAGAGAATTATGTTGTGTTGACAGATTTCTCAATATGTATAAATTTGTAAGTTTTACTGATAATCAGAAAAAAACCCATTGCAATCAATTTAAATTCAATTTGAAATAGGTTGCTAAAATTAGTACTCCATGTAATAGATGCACATGGCTTAGACGATACACATCATTCAGTCTTTAACTCAACAAGAGAGTAAGTTCAAATTTTTCTTCATTTTTTTAACAGATTCTCTTAATAACATTCCTTGAATTTGCACTTTCTTTCAGGAACTATCCTTGAAATTTTCTCTACACCAAAAATTATTTTATTTTATAAAACAATAACTTTGTATATTGGATGTTATATATCAACATATTAAATTTCCCATCAAAATAAATTTTCAGTGTCATTTCTGGCGGAAGTATATAAACATTTGTCAAATGTCCAAATCCTTTTTCCCTCCCACTCTATGTACATTATTTCATCTAAAATATATTAAATCAAGTAGGGTAAAAATAGATATGTAATATAAGAATATTTTAATTGAAAAAGAGTGCAACCATCTCAGTGTCTGTTTGTATATTACAAAAACAAATATGTGGATTTGAATAATGCCTTTCCATTTTGAAAAATAAAGGGGAATAAGTGTAACTTACTACTAAAAATTTAAATGTAATCACCTATCACTAATCACAAACAGATTAATTCTTCTGATTGAATTAAATATTATGGAAACAAAGAGTGAAAAAGGAATTTCTTACCTGGAGACCACTAGCCACCATTTTTACAGTATAAAATCCCCAGGTATTTTTCTCTGAAATTACACCAGTTTTTACCAAACCAGCAATCAGCACAGCTTGCCTTAAAAATTGTAACATATTTTATGAAAATATCTTTTAGCCTTTTATTTAAAATTTTATCAAAACTATAATACAGTGAAAACATGGATATTAAGAAAATCAAGATAATTCAAACAAAGTAAAATCGTAGGTAAGAATAGGCTATAACTAGAAAAGAAATTGAATAACCATAGAAAATTTTTTGGTGAAAAGAAAGATTATTTTTATAATGATGATTTATGACATTGAAGGATAATCCTTGAAATATTAAATAGGTTTTAAAGATGTTATACTCCACTGCAAATTAGATCTGATTCACTTTACATATCAGCTGGATATGAGTAATTTGCAGTGATAAATCTTTGTAGAAAAATCACAGATGAAAATTATGAAAAAAAAATTTCTTAAACAGTTTTCCAATAAACAATTCAATGATCCAAAACATGTTTGAATCTAATAGTGAAATTACAATTTATTAAATTTATATGTTAAATCTATATTTTGATAAAAATAATTCATTTAATAAAGACCATTCAATATAAAAATGTTCCATTAACTTACCAAAATGACAAGAAAACAACAGCTTTAACACAGAGGAATTTTGGAATAGGATTTATTGGCTGCAGTTCCTCCTTTACAGCTTTATAAAATAGAACTAAATTATACATTGCCCACTGGAATGAAACAAAAGTAAATAGTAATGATTCAGAAGATAATGATAAAGTATTAAGATGAGTCTAATAGCTCTTCTTTTAGTTTTGCAGCTTTTTTGTGCCTTTTTTAAATTCTTATATATATATTTTTTAAATTCTTAAATTTGTCTTGTTGAAAAGCAGAATGAATATTTACTGATAAATAATTTTATAAAATTACAACAATAATGATTTAAATGGGTAACTGAAGAACAAAGTGGAAAAAAGCACCTATGTTAAGTGTTTCATCACTTGAAAGCATTTCTTCAGATTAATAATCTTTATATTGATAGAGTCTTCTCTATATTTCAAAACACAAACAGGCATTCCTAAGTAACCAGTCATATCTAGTAATAGAAGTCCTCTCCATAGACTGGTGTAAGCTAAAGAAAATTTTTCTTCCCAAATTAAAGATTTTAGCAGCCTTGTTGAAAGACCAAAAAGATAAATATGACAGATAAACTCATGGCTACTTTAGATATTAAATCCCAATACACATGGTATTTGTTAACAAATGCTTAAATCTCATAAAAAAAATATAAAAAATCTGGAATAATTATCAGTTTTTATTTAAGAGCACTTAGAATTTGTAACTCTCAATATTTACACTGAAAATACTTTTAAACTCTTTCAATATCCTAATTATTTCAATCCTTTTGAGGGACAAAATGCATAACAGGAGATTTTTTAGTCATATGTTTGTTTTCAGCACCAAATTTTTGTGGATAATAATATTTCAGTATTTTATGGAGCAGTTCTTTTAACGATTTTTTTTTTTTTAAGCAAGATCAGATAGGAGTGATAGAAGAAAGGATGAGGAGAAGGGTAGTGGATAGATCAAGGCAACTGGAGATGTCGATTGACATTACATTTGAATAGCTGGAGATTATAGCTCTCAGGGAAACTGGAATAGGGAAGGGAGTTCCACAGGCGAGAGGTGCGAGACATGAAGCTATTGGAGTAGAAGAGACGGCTACATTTAGGAGTTTCAACAGTGAAAGGGTGAGAGCGGGATGCCAACCTCGTAGGATGCTTGAACTCATGAAGTCTGGGAACCAGTGAATGCAGCTCCTCAGAGCAATTGCCATGAAAGTATTTGTAAAACAGACAGAGAGAGGCGACGGAATGTCTGAGAAAGTGATTGTAGATGAGATGCCAGAGCAGGGCCAATTATATTGCATATCCGCCTCTGGAGCCTATCAAGAACCCCGAGTCAAATAGAAGGGGCTCCAGACCATATATGGCAGCAATACTCCATGCAAGGACGAATTGTTGATTTGTAGATCTGAAGGATTGATTCCGGGGAGAAAAATTTCCTTGCACGGCACAGGAAGCCAACTTTCCTTGCGGTGGACGAAGCAATTGACTCAATGTATTTGTTCCATCTCAGGTCAGCAGTCAACATGAGACCGAGCAGCCGCAGAGAGGTGCTCTCGAGAAGTTGAGCATCAGACATTCTAATGGAGGGCAGGGAAGGATCTCTGTGGTGATTAATAGAGAGCAGTTTTGTTTTTGAAGCATTAAAGTTGACCAGCCAATGATACATTTTTGGAATTAAAATTTCCCTAAAAAAATGACTCAGTTAACAATATCTTTTTGAACTTGAGAATAGTCAAATTCAAGATGGACAAGTCAACTTCAAATTGAAAAAATTGATCATGAACTGCTTGTTCCTTTCTCACCTGCACCATAGCTAGCTCAGTTACCTGTGGCTACATGGTGGTGGTGATGTTCACTTAGCTGGAGCTGGCACCCAGTTGGCCTTACTGTCTGCATCTACAATGCTGGTGTTGACAGTGCCTGTCATCTGCTCTTGTGCAGCACAAATGTTGTAGCCACCACTTGCTGCTAGTGGTTGACTGATGTGGGTTGACAGCTGGTGTTGGTTGTTTCTGGGGCTTTGAGGTCGAGCTCTAGCTTAACATGCTTGGCCTAAACCTGTCAGCTGCTTGTGTCTGTATCCACCGTTTTCTTCATAACTTCATATCCATATTTGATATGCCAATGGAAGGACTTATGCTGACGTGTGTGTGTTTGTTTGTGTGCTATGCTTGGCCAGTGAACAGCTTGTTAGTTGGTGGCTCAAAACATTTGCTGGGATCCAGTTGTATGACACCATTTTAAACTAATTCTGATTATTCTCAATTTAAAAGGTAAAAAAGGTATAGTTTTATATTATATATAAAAAAGAAATTTAACGTATTTTGGAAATGATCACTAAAACAAAAATCTAAAAGAAAAAATATTTTATGCTTATAAAGATTGAATGTACATAAAGTTTTTAGGTAGTTTTCTTGATTAAAAAACCCTAAAACAGAACAAAAAAACAAGCCAAAAGTGTTATAAATATATAAATGTGTCAATATGATTACTTAATCATTTTATAATCAAGGGATATAATTTTCATATATGAAAATATTTAAAAGATTGTATCAGATATAATTCCAAAAAGCAAATCAATAATTTATTTTTACAGCTAGAAGGCATACAAAAAGATATAGAAGAGATTTAAATTTTACACTTTAATAAAAAAAAAAAATCAGTTTAAATCAAGGTGATACCTATAATCTCTTTGGATTCACCTTGGTTTAAATTAATTTTTAGAGACATTTCAAAATATTTTTAAAATTCATCATAAATTCATTCAGTAATTTAATCAAGAAAACAAAGCAAGTAATTTAAAATGTTTTTCCCAAGAGTCATTTCCCTTATCCCTTCCACAACTGTTGTAACATAAGCAAGGGTGTGTTGAGGTTGGGGGAAACACTTAACTGATTGTTCTCTTAAGAATTACAGGAGTAACAGGCTGAGAAAAGAAAGAGATGGGAGGAAACAAAATAAAACTGAGTAATGACTAGTGAGGTCACTGTCTTAGAAACCACAGCATGGGGGTAGCATGTAACTTCCAGAACAAAATGAGCCAAGAGAAAATCTTCACAAGTCATCAAGTCTCACTAACTGTAATTGGCTGACTGCTGGATTTCCCATCGCTTTTATTGACATGAGACAGATGAGGGTCCCTGACATGGCATGCCATTCCATTCACCAAGACTGATTGCAAACTAATAAGTCCAATAATTTGTCCCTTTCTGAAAGTTGTTGCACACTGGTTGTGTGGGGTCTTTACTCACACAGGGTCTCCCACCTTGGACATTTTGTGGCCCACTTCAGACATCATTGGAAGCACTGAATCAATCCCTTTAAGCTGAACCTTGTATATGTAGACTTGACTTGTGGGCACAATCAGTGGTAAGGTGCCATTTTTGGGGTGACATTGAGTGATATGGGCTCTGTGACAGTACATTTCATCCTGGCTGCAATCCTCTTGATACTTCTGTGACACTGTTCCCTTATTCCATTTTCTGCCAAGATATGTGCAAAAATCACAACTGCATACATCCTTCAGCAATGGCTTGGGACTACCTGCTGCAGAACATGGTGTCATTGTTTGTGAGTAAATCACAAGGTGGTCTCCTCTCACAGAACACCAACTCCAGCTGATGTATGATACTCAAAGATGGTGTAACACAGAAAAAAGCCGTTGCCAAGTACTGTTCACTTTCTGTCTATTCTTTTGCCAACAGATTGGTGCAGGATCTACTGTTGTGCACTCCACACAGGTCTCAATGGTTGATTTTGCCTTTGACATGGAATGACAAACTCTCCTTACAAAATATGTGGTATACCACACTCCTGGATGACAACCACATCATTTGAATGGGACTTATTGTGTCCAGGGAAACAGCATACACCTGCTGCTCTGGTTCCTGTCACTGTCTCCAGGGAGATTATATCAACCTATAAATTTATTTCAAATCCATTCACACACCAGTCACCCTGGGCAAAATCTTCCTGTCATAATCTACCCACGCTTTCCTTCCCTTGCTTAAGGGAAGTGTCGTCAACTTGGTCATCCCATTTGTTTGTGACTGTATTAGCTCATTGCTTGATGAACCGAGTTAAAACATGCAGTTATCCACACATGAGATGTTTCACCATTCTGCTGAGTCATGACATCTGGTACCACACTTTCCTATGTCCATTTTACACTCTCTTCAGATTTCCAGTTCAAGCATGTGAGTCCCATCCTTCAATATTCTGGATCTTTGTACATCAGCCAATTTCATCCTGACATGTTCTGCAGACACAATGTTCTCATTGACATATGCATCACCAACGTATGCCAATGTCACTCTCCCAACTGACTGTGCTAAACAAAACCTGTTTGATATGGCCACAGTGACTCATGGATATGTACTTGAAGATATGCTTTTCATAAGTCAAGTATGGCCACATCTGCCCCTTGTTGGCACCACTCTCAGTTTGGCTGAACAAATGTCAGCATTTGCAGTGAATGCATCAACGTGTTTGTTGAGTTTACGATAGCCCAACACCAGGTGCACTTTTCTGTGTTACATGATGATCATTAATGGCACTAATCCCTTGGGTGGCCCCAGTCTCTTTTCAGGGTAAGATATCAGCCAACCATTGGTCATCCTTGTCTGAAGTTCTTGTTCATAAGCATCCCTAATGTCCTTGTATATTGGATACTTTGACACACTGTTTCGTAACTAGGCCAATGCTACACCTGCTGTCCACTTTCATTTTGCAGTCCAGATCTTTTGCTGGTGTTTGAATTCCACAGAAAACCAGGTTGGTCAATATGGGATGGCACACATGTTGGTGTTTCTTTGCTTCGGAACCACATGACTCTAGTCTGCATTATAATGATGCCACACAAAAGCAGCCAGAGTCAATGAGAACTGAACACCATTGCCCAATATGTTGACTACAAGCAGGGGTTGAATTTACATCTGGGCAGGGAATGACGTCTGTTCCCCCAATCTGTTTCCCAAGCATTTCCATGATATATGACCCAGTTTGTCACAGTGATAGCAAAATACAGCTTTGGCTCCCAGGTCATTGGCTCAAACAATTTCGAGCCAAGTGATTAGCACCATCACATCTGTGGAAGACGATATCACTCTGCAGATCATTGGCAAAAGTCAAGTCTGTACCTGTTGCTTAGGCTTCACAGCTGGAACAATCAATTCTGCTACCAGTACACCATCCTCCAGTATGATCTGGCTCACCCTAACAGCTGGTTGATTTTCAATGCATCCATTTGAATAGAAGTGCGAAGCAGCTGCCTGATGTGCCCAGGCAACCCTACTACAAATGCACATGCAAGTCTACAGTTAGAGACCTGACCATACAAGGTTGACAGTCTGTAGAGGTCTGCCGAGTAGATATCCACAGATTTGTTTGAATTCAAGCATCAAGTTATGAACGAATCTGTGGCAAAGGCAATGTATAGGGCATCCCTGATATGGCCTACATATTTTCTTTCTTCCTTGCTGAATTGTTGTAACACAACAAATGTGCCACCCATCAATTGGAGTGTCAGAAAACTAGCAATGTTCTTCATACTGCATAGATCACAGACCAGTTCAGCTTTTTCAAACAATTCAACAATAGGGAGACCCTGGTCTGAACCATCAAATTCATAGGATTAGCCTCAGGTCAAAATTGAGTACCATGAGTTTCTGAAATAGCTTGTAAAATGAGGCAAGGGTTTGTTGAAAGTGGAGGAAATACTTAAACGATTGTTCTCTTAAGAATTAGACAGTAACAGACAGAGAAGGAAAAGAGACAGCAAGAAACAAAACTGAGCAATGAGGCCACTACTTCAGAAACAACAGCATGTCAGGTAGCATGTAACTTCTGAAACAAAATGTGCCAAGATACTGAGTCTTACCAACTGCCCTCTGCTGACTTTTATTGACATGAAACAATTAAAGACCCAGATCTGGGCAAGTTGCAGAGAGGCCCTTATCCAGATATGCTAAGCTTTTCTGCTGCTAATGGGAAAAACCTGGATATGACCAGGTTCAGCTGACATGTCCACATGCAACTTGAGACCTTTTTGTATCTAAACTGGCAAACATTTGCCATCATAACAACCCACTACAATATGCTTATCTTTATTTATTACTTTATATATATCCATTACATCTGCTTACAATTCAAAGGATAATAAATACAATAAACTTATAAATAAATTCAGTGAAAATATACTCTGCTATATAAACATATTTTAATTGATTTTTGAAAAGATCAGTGACATTGTTGCCATATTAACTTTTTTTAAGGTTTTATTGAACATGAAATATCTGGTTACAAGTTTGAATACTTTCTTTTCTTCTATTTACAAGCCTCAATTTGAATCCAAACAATAATAGTACTTGTTAATTGTACAGTTTGTAACTAATTGAAAAATATTTTTCTTTTTAATAATTTATGTCCACAACAAGTTATAATCAGAGCTGGATGTGGATTAAGACCCATAGCACTTAAAAGAGTTTGGTACCCCACCATATATCTGTGAGTTAAGTATGCAGGCATAGCATCTCAGTGAGTAGTGTGGAAAAGGGAGATCCTCTGAGAACATCTATTGTGGAAACATCAGCTGAAAATAAATATAGAAAGAATGGAAGGCACCATCGAGAAATTCTGATCCTAATTTACCACCCAGAACAACACCAATGTACTGGAAACCCAACCACAAAAAGAACGAACCAATTGTAGCTGAGAAACACTCTCAAATGAGCCATGACCAGATTCTAACAGAACTGTGACCAGAGGTAGTCATGTAATCAACAATCTAGCACATTACAGAATCATATTAGCATATGGTCTGAATAATACCAAATGAACATCAGGGTAGTCTACCTCTGTGATTGATCACAAAAATTAAATCCCATAAAGTTAATTAGTAATACTAATTTATTCAAGAGTGGAGATGTGATGTATTGAGTAAATACAAACCTCATTACCGCCCCTACTCTTATTAACCAATCAGAATTGCAATAAAATTTTGCTGCCGGTCAGTCATCTCCCTCTTTCATAATGGCGTCCAGAAAATTCAAATGTTAATCATGTTCGATTTATTTCTTTAGATGTGTACAACAACATCATAATAATTTCTGTGATGCCCACTTCCTTTGATGCCCTAAGCATATGCTTATTTTGCTTAATGCTTAATTCAGCCTTGATCACAGCCTGTAGGTTATTGCAAATAATTTAGAAAAACAGAATATCTAAAGGCCTGAAGCTTCAAAATATAAAGAGAAAAATTATATTATAGAACAAAAAGTAACTTACCACCTGTGAAGCATTATTAATAAACACCAGATAAGGCCAAGCTGAATCAATATTGAAATCTCCTTCATCATATTTACCACAAATAGCAGTTATTCTGCAAAATATAAGTTTTTTTTATATATATATATATATATATATATATATATATATATATATATATATATATATATATATATATATTCAAGTTAGATTGATGTTTAGTTCCATCTTTGATATTGAAAGCATTCTAATAAGTACTACACATATAATATATAAATAATATATATATATATATATTTATATACAGACACTTTTCACATATATATACACACACACACACACACATAAAGTAACAAGTTTAAAACCTGAAACCAATATCAAATTTAAGAAAATAAAATCTTGTATTTGCAATAGAATTTGCATTCTACATTTTCTATATACACTTGTATATAGAAAATGTAGAATGCAAATTGTTTCAGTTTTAGAAAATAATAAATAATTTGTATTCTTCATTTTCTATATGTAAGTAGAATTTCGAAATGTATTTTACTTAAATTTAAAAAATCCCATTTGAGATCTATACATTCAAAAGGTTATAATCTCCAATTTTCTATTGAATTTTTATATTATGAAATGTATTTCATGATTTTGTAGTTGATAATGTAAATTATAATCAGTTAAAATATTTTTTTAATTCTGAGAAATTTCAATAATTTATCCTTTATTATAATGTACTTAAGATATTCAAAATTTACTTCTACAATATTGAGGATCATCACATGCAAGTAAAATACTTAATATAAAAAAAAAAAAAAAAAAAAAAAAAAAAACAGCTTTGGCTCCCAGGTCATTGGCTCAAACAATTTCTAGACAAGTGATTAGCACAGTATTGAAAACAGCAATGGCTGATTCCCTCTGTTTTATTCATTTGAGTTCTAATTTAAACTGCATCTAACATCTACTTTTAATTTTTCATAAATTTTAGCAAGTTAATGGCAGGCTTGAAGAAAATATTAATGTGCAGGGTATTTCACATATGTATAAATTACAGTAACCTACATGTCAGTCATATAATGGGGCAACAGTTTTATGAATTTTACCAACTTTCATATTAGGCAGGTTATTCAAACTCCAATACATATGTTATAATTAAAAAATACAATTACAGAATGTGTGCAAAATTTATAAAGACAAATGTTTGCAAGAAAAAATTGAAAACAGTGTCATTGTAATGAGGATAACATAATAAAGACAAAATTAATATGTTCAGTAGAGTTGGTCGGCTTGGCAATTTATGTTTCGGTATCGGTTTCTGTTTTTTTTTTCTTTGATACCACGGTTTTCGATTCGGTTTTTCAGTTTTTAATTTAGTATTTTTACTTTCTAATGAAGCCATTCATTTTGTTGTGTAATGATAGCATTTCCAATAGATATATGATTTTGTTTGATATTGATAAATTTGCAACTTAGTCCATTCAACTCACAATTTCTCATGTATTTCTGGTCCAATCTTAAAAATATTCATATGGCTGGAAAGAAAATAAAATAATCTTTCTAAATATGTTATTTGTATGTGCTTTTATTAATTGAATTATATTTTTAATAGTAGGTCAAAACAGTATTTTGCTTTGAACAGCTGAAAATGTGAGATATGATTTTTTTTTAGACTAAATTTTACACGTTACTTTGTTTCACAAAATCAAAGTGACCAATCTTTATCAATATTCTTGAAATTGTACACTCAATTAGAAACACCTTAAACTACAACCAGGAAGATGTTAATTTCTCTGACCTGAGGAAGTGAATTACTTCAAAAATTATAAAGTAAGCAAAAAAAAAAAAAAAAAAAAAAAAAGCAACTGATAGTAATAAATGAACTTTCAAATTATTGAAACTACTGTCTGACATTGACTATTGGCTAAAAAAGAATAATTTTTACTTTGGGTTTAAAATTTATTTTTTTAATATCTAATTTTAGGTGTATTTGCTAGATAAAAACAATTTTATTTGTAGAAAACAAACAATTTTACACTAGAGATTTGCATATCTGGAAATATACACATTTTAAAAGTGAAATTAAGAAATATTTTAATTATTCTTAATATATCTAATTTAGGTGCATTCCCTAGATAAAAAAAAAATTATTTATAAAAAAAATCTTCATTCATTTTTCTTGTTTACAACAACTTTACTTCGTGATTGGCATACTGGCTTACTAGAAAACAATTAATAAATTACACTTACAAAAATCCAACTTCATAAAATTTAACATTAAGACAAAACTGGCAACTATTTTTTTTATTTTTAATCGCTATTTTGTTGTTAACTTAATTTTACCACAAAAAGTTCTTTTTTTTTTTAAACTGAAAGAAATAGATTTCAGACATCATGTATTTCCTTTTTATTCTTCAATTCTTTTGAAAACAAATAGATTTCACATTTATTTCCTAAAACTAGTCAATTGAATGTTTTTAACATATTTTTGTTCAATCTTTGTCTCTTACAATGGTATAAATGTTGATAAAATTAAATTTTATTAACATCTGAAAATCTTTTTCAATAGTGTTTTTTTGGATATGGTCACTCAGTAGCGATAAAACTTCAAAAAAAAAAAAAACAAAAAAACATGAATGATTTTGGTTTCGTAAAAAATTTTGATTCGGTTTCACAGTGTGACAGTGAAACTGAAAAGTGGTTTTTCAATTAAACCGCTCATTTCTCATGTTCAGAAATTAGTTTTAGAAGTCATTAATCCATTTTGTGAGCTGTTGTATTTATTCATATGAAACAGACTATACAGCACTAAGAAAAACATTCCAAAGTTAATCTTTGTTGGTTAATTGCCATCTACCAATGTAAAGCTTCCACTTAAAAATGCTCCACAAATTTTCAATTGTGTTAAAGTTGGGTGAACTTCTTTGTTGCTTCTTGTGTTTTTGATACTTGTTATTTTAATAACTTGATAAAGATAAATTTTTTATAACTTCTCTCTTGATATGGGACACAGATCATCATTTCCTATCTTCAATAGTACCTGCCAAGTATTTTTGTAATTTCAAGTGTTATTTTACTTTTTGCAAGCTCTGGAAAATTCGTAAACTTAAGCAATATTTCTTTTTAGTCATCAAATCAGACTTATTACAAATTTTAAAGCTTCAAACTCACATGACTTTTAAGTAGGTACCTCCAAAGAAACTCAATATCTAAGGTTTAAAATGAAATATTTAAAAATGAAAAATCTTTCTTGAAGCTTATATTTTAGTTTTAATTTCAAGCTAATAGATTAAATTTAATATTTCTAATAAGCAAAATACGTTTGTATTTCAAAATTAATTCAAGTTGACTGGAAGGAAAAAAACCCACTTATTTTAGCTATTTTTAACCATCTGTCAGCACTATTAAAAATATACTTTTCTGAAATTTTATTTGTAGAATATTAGCTGATTTAAAGTTGATTAATCTAATTTGAAGCAAATATTGCTTAGTTTTAAAATAATTGCAGAAATGCATTTTTTAACACAGAGATAGGTGTTTGGTCAGTTTGCGGTATACAGAAATAGCATTAGAATCTATATCTCTAGAACCAACTATATGGTTAAGGTATGTAGATGACACCTTCATACTCTGGCCACACCAGGAAGATGTTCAGGTTCTACTGTGAACTCAATAAGACCTTCAATACAGTTCACGATGGAGAAAGAGTGTAACAACACACTCACATTCCTGGCCTGGATGTTCTAATATCTCAAACAGAGCATGGGTTCAAGACATCCATATACTGCAAACTGACATCCACTGGACAGTACCTCAGTTTCAACTCCCACCATCCATACAGCGTAAAGAAAGGGATTGTTTGCTGTTTACAACACCGAGCAAAAGTCATAAATGGCGACCCAGAGACATTAGATAAAGAATTGGTCAGTATAAGTAGGACCCTACAACGTAACAACTACCCTGGGTATATGGCAGCAGCCCCAATAAACTGGGATAGGTGGGTACAAGAGGAGGATTTTTTTTCAGAAAACAGTCTGTCTGCCTTATGTGAAGGGGTTATCAGAGAAAATACAAAGAATCTGCGGTCCATATAACATCAGGACAACCTTCAAAAGCTGGATGACACTTTGCATTTAACTCTCCCAAGTAAGAATCTCCCATAGAAGAGAACATGACTAAAGACTGTGTTTATGCCATCCCGTGCAGCTGCGGAAAGAAATATAAAGGTCTTTTTTTTTTTTAAGGTAAGGCTTCAAGAACACCAGAAAGCTGTAACACAAGGAGAAGTGGAAGGCATGTCTGACTACATATGGAGAGAAAAGGAAAATCACTGTCCTCTGTGGGATCAGGTTGAAACCATAGACAAAGAACATCATTGGAAAATTCGTAAACTTAAGGAATCAGCACATATGCTCGGCCACAAAAATCTCCTGAGCCGACCAAGCATAGAAATGAATGCAATATGGGAACCAGTAATAAGGAGTGCCAGAGAAAAGCAATAATAACAATGAAAATTGCAATATGAGCTCTGGTAAAAACATGCATGATAACAGCAAAAATTGCAATATGAGCTCTGGTAAAAACATGCATGATAACAGCAAAAATTGCAATATGAGCTCTGGTAAAAAATGATTGCTGAAGACATTAGGTTTATAACACCCAGAAATTCATACACAGATTATCCTCAAGGACACAAAGGCGTTAGTTAGATCCAGTGACAGGAGAGTGTGAGTTCAATACCTAGTTAAGGTGGTGGAGAACTTAGAGAGGGGAATTAACAGGAGATAACTGATAACTGACATCTATTAGACATGGCATGTGGAACTACAACAATCTAGCCCAATGAGTGAAATAAAGGGTTCAGTTCAACATTCCAACCACCTGAAGCGTACAACGACCAAAATGTTGTGATAAATAGTCCAAATAGTGTACATAATACCTCATCTCAGAAATATAGACAGATATTCTCTGTAATCTAATGTTTTTATTGAATTTTAGATACTTTGGCTTTAAATTTACTATAGTTACCCAACTCTTATTTTCTGATAATTTCATGTATGGACATCTTTATTGGCAAAAAAAATTCAAAATCATTTTCAAAATATTGGGGGAAGTGGGTGG